CATCGCTCCACACTGTAATTAGGATTTATAAACATTTTGCTTCCTCCAATAGGAACCTTATTAAAAGCCTCATTGGCACAATTACATTGTTTGAGATTAAAAAAAATAAATGCTGCTCCTGAGAAAGGGGGCCGATCTTTGATTTAAAACTGTGCAAGGAACCTTCCCAATGTTCTCTACAAGCCAGAATTTTTTTAAATTTTTTTGCATCATTTAATATTTGCCTAGTATCATCAGTATTTTAAGATATAAAAAGCAAGGAATATGTTATTCAGGCTTGGCTTTTTTATGACACCAAACTCTTATATTATAATATATACCGTATTTTCCGGCGTATAAGACGACTTTCTAAACCCTGAAAATCTTCTCAAAAGTTGGGGGTCGTCTTATACGCCCAGTCGTCTTATACGCCAGAAAATATGGCCGAGCCGGCCACATGTTTCCCCAGGCCAGGCCGGGCCGGGCGGCAGTCATGGCAGGTGTGGCGGCCGGTGGGAGCATTGCACCCCACGAAGCCAAGCCGGCCATATGTCTCCCCAGGCCGGGCCGGGCGGCAGTCATGGCTGGGCTGGCGGCCAGCGGGGGCATCGCACCTCAGGAAGCCGAGCCGGCCACATGTCACCCCGGGCCGGGCGGCAGTCAGGCATGAAGCTCGCCTGGCTGCCGCAGGGCTCTCCGCCACCCGGCCCCATCGGTGGTGCCTTCCTCGGCCACTTTTGGGGAGCTGCCGGCGCCCTCGGTGCTGCAGGAGAAGACCTTGGGCTGCGAGGGCGGCGGGGCTGGCGGCAATCAGGACCCCCCTCGTCCCCACAGCGGCACTCCCCGTTGCAGCCGCGGCCGCCCATGGTGCACCCAGCCTTGGCGCCCTCCTCTTGCGACGGCAAAGTGGCTGAGGATGCGGCGGGAGCGGCGGCCAGGTCAGGGGTGGTGGCGGTGACCCCGACGAAGCTGCAGTGTCCACTGCCAGAGCCGCTGCCTCCCGTCCGCTGCTGGAGCCGCTGCCTCCTCGCCCGTTCGGCGGCCGGGAGCTGTTGCCTCCCGTCCTGCTCCCCCTCCCTGCCCGTTCGGCGCCATCTGCCTTTCATTCTCTCTCTCTCTCTCTCCTAACCTGGAGGGAGAGGGAGAGAGAGAAAGAGAGAAAGAGAAGAGAAAGAGGAAAGAGAAAGAGAAGAGAGAGAGAGAGAGAAAGAGGAAAGAAAGAGAAGAGAAAGAGAGAAAGAGAAAGAGGGAAAGAGAAAGAGGAAAGAGAAAGAGAGGAAAGAGAGAGAAAGTTAGAGGAAAGAGACAGGAAGAGAAAGAGAAAGAGACAGAGAAAGACAGAGGAAAGAGAGAGAGAAAGTTAGGGGAAAGTGAAAGAGAAGAGAGAGGAAAGAGAGAAAGAGGAAAGAGAAAGAGAGGAAAGAGAGAGAAAGAGAAGAGAGAGGAAAGAAAAAGAGATAAAGAGGGAGAGGAAAGAGGTAGGAGGAGAGAAAAGAGAAAAAGAGGAAAGGGAGAGAAGGAGAGGAAAGAGAGAGAGAAAGAGAGGAAAGAGAGAAAGAAAGAGGGGAGAGGAAAGAGAAAAAAGATTGAGAAAAGAGAGGAAAGAGAGAAAGGAAAAAGAAGAGAAAGAGGAAAGAGAGGAAAGAGAAAGAGGAAAGAGGAAAGAGAGAGACAGAGAAAGAGAGAGGAAAGAGAGAGAAAGTTAGAGGAAAGAGAGAAAGAGGAAAAAGAAAGAGAGAGGAAAGAAAGGAAAGAGGAAAGAGACAGAGACAGAGAGAGACCCTTTTGACATCTAAAATGAAGATAACACTGCATATATCCTTTTTCACCTTTATTTTATATATACACACACAAACATACACACACACACACATATCATAAAGGTAAAAAAGGATATATGCAGTCTTATCTTCATTTTAGATATCAAAAGGGTTTTGCGGCTCCCAGTGTTTTGTTTTTGGTGGGAAACGTGTCCAAGTGGCTCTTTGAGTGTTTTGGGTTGCCTACCCCTGATATAGCCCAAACTCTATATTTTAACTGGAAAAGTTGGGGGTCGTCTTATATGCCCAGTCGTCTTATACGCCGGAAAATACGGTATGTTTTTGAAATAATCAGATGCCTTAAATTTATTTGCTATGCAAAGTGAATTAATTCAGACATAGTTAAAAGCTTTTTTCCATATGGAAAAAAGAGTTTATATTAATAAAGCTTCCAGTCTTGAAAAGGTCTATATAAAAAGAGAGGCGAGTTGGTTGGAAATGCCATATTGTTTTAAAGCATATTCGTTAAATGTACCATTACCCATCATTGGCTGGACTATTATGGGTATAAATAATATCTATTCTTCCAATAACACTGGAGTGCATTATATTTATTATCAAGTGATAATAAGAAAGCAGGAAAATAACTTTTCATTGTAGTTCATTACAGAATAATTTTCTTATCCACATTGCTTGATTTTGGTGGTCTTCAGAATGAGATTGGGATTATCCAAGTGAGAATGAATGTGGGGAAAAAATCACTCAATATATAAGAAATAGAATAAAAGAACAAAGAAACACTTGGATATAATGAATGAAATGCAATCAGGATTTTTAGGAAAGAGGAATCAGAAAGCAAAGAGATGTAGCACTTACATTCGCATGTTGCTGGTCTTGTTGATAATTACAGATTTCCCAGTCTGATCCACATTGTGATCCATGCCAAAGTAGGCCGCCACTCTGTGCACCAGCATTCGCTGATACGATGACATCTGGGGGAACTTTTTATAATGATTACTGGAACAAAATGTCAAAGGGCTCAATATGATGCCGCCTCTGACATGATGGAATAATAGCAGTCCACTTTTTAAACATATGTAAAATCACACAGACTTTATGCTGAATTCTCTAATGCCAAGAATGGACATCTTACTGATTTTGCTACTTCTATTCATTTATTTCAACTCATTTTCCAGTCATTCCAACAGTCTGTTAGTTTATGCCAACTTGGGATAATTTGGGCAAATAGGGATATTGTAAATTTAGTAACAAGAAGGCACCCAAATGAGTAACAAAAGTTTTGATTATAATTTGAACATATCTCAAAATTTGACCTTTGGAATTAATGGTAATGGCATACAAATGAAAAATTTGTTTTTGATATAATTTATTATGTCATACCTCAAAAGCACTTAAGGAAGTGTAAAAGTTGTTGTCCTAATACCTCAACAACTACTCTTGGTAGGTAGGTAGCCATTGAGTCTGGATTCTTTAGTAATTACAGTGTAATTTCAAAGCCAAATAAAATTGCTTTCTCTATCTATTAGCAAAAGTACAGAGATCTGAAGGATCCTTTTGGCTTATGACATTTGAACTTACGCCAGAGAACCTAAAAGGTGCTTACATACTGGTTCCAAAGTTCCAACAGTCATCACCCCAACATAGTCACATTTTGGGCACTTAACCACTGGTTGGCATTTACAACATTTTGTGGTCATGTGACTATGATTTATGATATTTTTTGCCGAAAACCGTAATTTATTCCTGCTTTTCAGCAAAAATGCCCCATATTAAACAATGAGTTCACTTAACTACTGCAGCAATTGATTGTTGACTGTATGTTAACAACTGCTGCATAAAAGACAAGTCACACAATGACCTTCTTTACAACTGTCACAACTTACGACAATAATGGGAAGCCTCAATTATTTTTATAAAGATGAGGACCAGCTATAATTAAGCCAGTATATACCAATTAAGGAATATATAGCATTCCCTTTACTGTACAATGATAAACAAATATTAATAATGATATTCTCAGGAATACAATAGAATTGCTTTAAGAATATATTTCTGACATGTTTCAAGCAAAAGATGTCACAAAACAAGAAACAAATACTGAAAACAAACTTACCTCTCATCACTAATAAAATCAATGATTTCCTGCTCCATTTTTAATAATATCATTCTATCCCTGTTAATAAAAGGAAAATAAATATTTCAGAATTGAAACTGAGAACAGAAAAACAGGCAGCAATATTTGAAATATTTCTGACATTAGACCAAAGAAATTCAAAGTGAGTTCTATTTATGAACAGTGCAAATACGTTTAAGTTTTTCTCCTAATGAAAGGATTCATTACATTTCCTATTCAAAGAAAGGAATTCAGGTATAGTATTCTTAGGATAGGTTGGAAATAAGAATGTAGATTTTTTTGGTATTTTACACAGGTATTTTACACAGATAGTAGTGTGCATTCTATTATTATCTTTGTATTTCAAAAAATAAGAGTGTCTAACAAGGCACTAATCTTAATAATTATAATTTCTATCAATCTCTGATTTCAGTATAGCTATATCCTTTAGGTTATACTATTCAGAGGAGAGGGTAGTTATTGTTCTAAGACTGTTCTCTACAATTAAGTCTACCATCATTATGTTTAAATGTCAACAATCACAACACACAAAATTTGCTTTTGGGAGATTAACAATAAAGACTGTTTCCAATTCACTTAATCATTCCAGCCAAACTGACATTGTTCACTGAAAAAACAAAAATATTTTGGTTCAAGACAACTGCAGTATTCATGAACATTCTATATCAGGACAGACAATAAATGTCAGAATCTTCACTGTCATGAAAAGATAAAAATAAAAATGGAGAACTTTGTTCTGTGAAATGCTTTGAGGTTAGAGATCTGAAGTAAAAGTTCCTACTCAACTAGTCACCCTTTACCTGCTTAATGACATTATTATTCTCCTTATGAAGATTTACTTTCTCTGAGCATGCTTTTCTCCAGACAAACTAGCTTTTCAAACAGACAAATGTCAGGGTGATCTGTAACCCTACCTGGTGGATGATAGGTAGTGGAACTTATCTGTAATCTTTTCCCTTATGTGATATATCTCTATTTCATTCTGTATTTATTTTTTAAATAATGCTTTAAATATGAATGCCACTATGAGTCTTTAGATTTGGCACTGAATGAAATATAGTATATGATTCCACGAGAGCTCTTCCACTAACAAAAGAACTATTCCATTTAAAAACATGATTCTCACATAGTGAAAAAAAATCTTGCAATGGAGAAATTACCCCCAAATCTGGAGATATTATTTCTATTTATCCTGAGTTTTTCCAAAGCTTTATTGCCCACCAGAAGTTATAAGTTAAACCTAGATATTTCCTCTATGTTACTATTCATATTGTAACAAAATTCCTGAATTAATGTTCAATTACATTACTATAAATTTTACTCTAACTTTCCCATGGAAAGTGATTTATTTATTTTGCACTTATTTCCACTGAACCCTTCATGATTACTTTGATTTTTAAGATATTCATATAACATGCAAAAACATGAGAGTTTCTCATGAAAAAAAAAACTGGAAACCATCAAATATTGCACACACTGTGTATTGCAAGCTGGTTTCAGATCTTCCTCGAAGCACTGGGCTGCAAAAATATAATCCAAAGAACAAAAGAGCCCTGATGAGAAGGAAGGTAAATGTTACAACACATATTTGACACTTACGCTATAAAACCTGTGTTCTCCTGCTCTTTCTGTGTAAGGTATAGGATGGCATCTCTTTTATGTCCGGCAGACAATTTTCAATATTTACATTTTGATAAGAGCTATTTTTTTCTGAGTATAACTCGCACAATTAGCTATATTTGACAAGTATTGCATATTTTTGAGCTATAAAAGTTTAGAAATCTTTGTTTGTGTGTTCTCTTATGTGCATGCATGCATGTAAATGGCCAAATTTTGATCAAGAATGGCTAAATTTTGATAAAAGTAGGTTACAAGCCTTATAGTATATACTAATGATGTAGGTTTTTAAACAATTTTTAACACAGGCATTATTTCCCATATCACGAATATCACATTTTCTAGAAAGCTATGTTCTATACCTCCAAATTGCTAAGAGCCAAGCTATGGAAAAGAGGGAGAGAGAAACTTGGGACTTACCGGGGATTATTCTTTAATGTGTTAACCAGAAATTCATGCAAATCTATGCCTGTTGAATCTGTATATTCTTGGCTGCAGTCTGAAAAAACATATATTACTAATAGTTTCATTTTTAAAAAGTGAAAATAACTTTATTCCATCACATGGAATAAAGTTTCTTTCGCTCCAGTTGTCTTCTGAGGTGCCTAATTTATGAAACTTCTATCTTACATTAATAACATTCTAATAGAACAGGAGCTTAATTATAAGCACCAAGCACAACTAAATATTCATATACAGTATTATGCTTTTAAAAAACTGAAAATAAATAAGTAATGGGCATATCTTGAATTCTGAAGATCTGCATTTGCTTGAGCAAATGTAAAAGGAATGGATGAGTCAAACAAAAAAAGAAGACAGAATAACAAACAAAAACTAGCTTTGGATTTGTTTGCATATTACACTATTCCAAAACTGCTGGTATACACTATTGGATTATTAATGGCTGGAGAACAGAGAAACAAACCGTGGAAACTCTCTCCATGATTTGTTCATTGGACAGTCATATCACCTTTCCCCAAAACAACTGTGAAAGCAGGAATTAAGAAGCTAGCTATGTGGCATGATTCTGTCTCCATATTGTTAGAAAAAGAAAACAAACCTGTTAGTTGGCTACTTCAACAAACAAATCATGAAAAGAAATTGTGTGCTGTAAGTGGAACCTAACATAAATGACAGCTATGGCAATAGTGCATTACTCATTTACCATTAAATTCTACTATCCTAGGTTTTTGTCAGGACCAATACTGTGTGTGTGTATATGTGTACACATTTGGCTATGTTTACCTGACTGGATCCAAGATATATTAGAATAGCTAAAGAATTTCTGCAAAAATAGAATATCTAGAGAACTCAGTAGTTTTTACTTAGAAAAGAATTCTGAATATACAGTATATTAAAATAAAATAGCAATAGCACTTAGACTTATACACTGCTTCACAGTAAACTGCTTTACAGCCCTCTCTAAGCAGTTTACAGAGTCAGTATATTGCCCCATCAGAAGGGTGGAAGGCTGAGTCAATCTTGAGTGGGTGAGAATTGAACTGCCGAATTGCTGGCAGCCGGCAGTCACCAGAAGTAGCCTGCAGTACTGCATTATAACCACTGCGCCACCACAGTTTATATATGAAAGATAGGGTGTTTTGATTCTGCCAATCAACTAAATTGATTTTATTTTCCTGAAATTATCTATGAAATGTGTATTCTTTGAGCAAATCCATAAAGAACTCCAGAATTTAGAATGTAAGCATTATGTTTAAAAGTTATGTAGCCTGTATTCCATACCTAGTTAGATTGTCATGAAAGAAAAAAGTTTGCGTATCATAATAATATCCTAGAAGGCAATAAGGTGAACAAATGTGCAGTAAATGACAAAAATGCATATAGATTCTAATTAGTTATGTTATAAATTACTACTGTAGAGATTCAGTGTATTTATTTAAATTGAACGGTCGGCACATGTGTGCTAGATTGAAATGAAAATTTCATTCAGAAGGCCTATGAATGACACATCATTTGTTAGGACTCAGATAATCTTATGTACTATTTATTTCTATGGAATTTTTCTACTGAAAATTATCAAAGTAGAGCATGAATTTATGCCATCAATAACATGCAAATTGAAAATATAATCATAATCTTTTAAAAAATGAAGATGAAATAAAATATTAAGGACAATTTATAAAGACAACTAAAAGAGCTGAGTTTTAACACATTTCTTTTTAACTGCAGCTATCACAACCCAACACATTTTAGCCGAAAGCATAGCAAGGTCTGAATGAAGGACACTCCAAAAATCTGGGATTTAAGTTTTTTTTCTTGGACACATAAAAAAATCAGAGGATAAATTCACTGCAATTAGAAAATATTTTGGATAGTCACCTCTACATTATTTTTTATATTTTACATATGTGACATTTATAATAATTAATTACAATTATAAGTGTACTATGTATGAAAAATCTAAAATCAAGAAATTAATTGTCAAGAAAGAATTGGCAACGCTTTTGTTAAATAAGTGACAATCCATGCACAACAAACTATTATTGCAACAGTATGTTCCTATGCTGGAGCACATTCAACAATGGGTAAAAAAGTTTACAAGCACAGGGTATAGTTTTGTCTAAGCAGCAACTCAGTGTGTACTCTTCCTTCATTCCACACTATCCCTACCCTATTTCAATTTATCTCCTTAACACTATTCATGGATTTCAGTATCAGGTTGAAAATATGTAGCTAGGATATAAAATGCATTGACCTACAAATAATTCTTTCTCTTATACTATTGCTAATGCAGCTGAGCCATATGCATATTATTTTTATGAACAAAATTACATATGTTTTCAGTTTTGATGTGCAATACAGCAGCATCTCTATAGGGTGGGAAAGAGAAGGAAGACAATGCAAAAACTGTGGTCCACTATGGCTGATCTCAAAAAACGTTTGGGAGAGATGAATGTATTCCTTAGACCAGAACAAATTCTTCCTCTTTATGTAATTGTTTAAATCTCTTTATATGGCTGTATATATTGTCAGAATTATTATGACTTTGAAAGTTTAAGGTATCCTTTCAGCATGTATTTCAGCCCAGTCCAGTTTTGAGAGTTGTAAAGACAGTTTGTTTTGTATATCACATTTTTTCTATAATAAATATATAAACTATACATATACCCACAAACAAGTACAGAATATAAAAAATAAAAACTAATTCAAATACAGACAAGAGCAAATACAAACATTCAAAATGTCTCCATGTGACTATAATAAATGACTAAATAATGACTTAAATACTTTTGTTCACCTTTTGATAATATTCTTATCTTGGTTTTTTCACTGTTTCTATCTTTTTCTTTGTTTTTATCCTTCTCTTTTTCTTTCTCAGAGTCATCTTTACTAGATTTATCCTCTTCTCGTAGGCTGGGGAAACTTGAAAGCTGTAGTTGTATTGATTCCTGTTGAAAAAAATATAATAATTTAGGGCCAGATTCAGGAAAACTGGCATGGCTTCCCAAATGCATAGGAAATTGCAAGCTTAGAAAAGCTGGAGCCAAACAGTATTTGATATACTTAATCTTAAGAAAAGATAATGTATTCTTAGAAATAATTTTAGTTGGTTGGATAGTATCACTGAGTATCATAATTTAGTCTATATTATTGAGTTTCAGAATTTAGTTCAAAAATATTAACATATAATTCTTAATTTGCTTGCAGTATATGGATTCAATAAGAATCATTTTAAATTAAATGCTAAATAAAAGCATAAAGGTACTATTCTTAGGATGCTAATTATGATTTTTTTAATATTACAATTACATTGAAATCAGTAGAATTCATCTCAATGCAAATTGGTTGAAAAATTTAATGGAAACATAGACAGTATTAAGTTTCTCTAAAATACAGTGTGACATTTTAAATAAAGTGTATTTGTACTTAAAATTAGGAATGTAACAATCAGAATTTGACAATATTCAAATGTATGGTTAATTTCATTTTATACCAGGAGTTATTAATATGTTGTTTCTTGAAAAAATCCTATTTTATATCTAAAACTAATGCTACATAAATGAAAAAAAAATCCAAATTATGCCTACTTATTGATTAAAATATAACACGAATGTCTGCAGTGATCCTAAAGGTTTCTCAAGTATTTAGCCTGCTTTCAGTTACATGTGCTTTGGAGCAGTGTCACAGAAGCTCTGTGCTAATTTATTTGTATTAGAAATGCTTGAAGATTTACTTGAAGTTGTATTAACTTGAACCAAATGTGCTTTTTGTTAAGTAATTAACTTATAATATGGTATAAGTATTTTACAAATACTTACAAATTTAATCTATGCTCAATTTTTTTCTTTTGAAAGTATTTTTATATTATGCATATTTGCTGCCTATGAAGACAATCTAATACGTGACTGTGGGCTAAGACTCACTGAAATGGGATTAATGGAACTTAATGGAAAAAGTTTTAATTGACTTTGACATCTTCAGTTGTTTATGCTGAAGTCAAAGTGATTCCTAAGTGCACTTGCTGTTTTACAAAAAAATGGGAGAAAAGACAGACTTTACAAACAGTTAAATACAAACATATAAGCATACTGCACTGTATATTTTCTATGTCATACATATAACATAACATCGCTATATATTCATTACATTGGAAATAAACACACAGGAAAGCTGCAGAGTCGTGGAAAAATCTGGTATTTGTTTCTTATATTTGTTTTTTATTGACTTTTTTAATCGCAAAATTACAACGTTGATAAGTACATTCATACAAGTTAGATGTAGCGAACACAAAATGTTGAATTGCAGTAGTACACTAATAAATCAATATAACAACATTAGAGGCAACATTCCTTTTAAAATAAGGACAGTGTGAGATCAGGTAAACTTTTATGATCAAGTAATACAGGAAAACAAGGTTTTTCCTACATAGGAAAATCAAGGCAAATTTTCAAATATAATACAAACATCAGGTTTGTAGTACAATCCATACTCTATAGTTCTGGCAATGTACCATACATTCTCTGATAACTTAGACTCTGTGCTTTGTAAACAGTTAGGTAAACTAATGAGGAAAAATTCAACTTAACTTTAAAAATAATCAATTTTTCATTGATGTAACTCTTCCAAGTTCCTTTAATTAATTAAAAGAATAAAATACTGGCCTAGCTTTTCTATGCAAAGTCCATCAGTCTTTAAACCAAGTAGTATAACTAATTAACTAATTAGTTAACTAATTAATATATGAAATCAATTATCCTCAATATGCAGGCTTTGGTAGTAGAATATATTTAATCCTTGCATCCTTAATTATAGGGTGACATGTCATGGTGAGTCAAACAGTCATAGGGACCATAAGAAATGGCACTGGAGCAATATAGAAAAGATGCCTGCTTCCAAACTTGCTAGTCCCTACAGAATTCTTTTTTTTTTCATTTGTAGAGAGTACATCAGAAACTGTCATGCAACATTTAGTACAATCTGATATATTTATATATTTCTCCTTTCAGATTCCATTTGAAATGATAGAAAATACAAATAAAATGCAGAACAAAAGCCATACATTTATAATAATGCAAGTTGAGCCAAATATTAGAATTGTTTTTAAAGTAACTACCCACAATTTGATAAAATAATCTATTGATTGTTATACTGCATAAATGTCATCTTAGAGCAGCAAGAGAATGTATAAAATCCCCACAGCTTATTAAGATATGGGACAGTGAATTCTGGTCATTCAAAAAACAAACAGACAGAGAAAAAAAGACCTCTCCAGAGAAAAGTCCAGAGAAGAAGTGAATTTAAGTCATTTCAAGTTAATAGAGGAAACTTTTAAAAAGTACACTTAACTGTGATTTGATTTTTGTGCTAAAAGTTTAGCATTCATTTCCTCTTTCCTCTCCCTCTCTAGGGCTGATCTCATTCTTCAATTAATATCTGAATCTTCAAGTAAAATTGTTGAGAAAAATAACTTTCTTTCAAGTAAGAAATAATTTCTTTTGGTTTCTGTGTTTGTTAAATTTATTTTTTAAGCAAATAGAAATGTAAGCTTTTTGCAATAGGCGCTAAAAGAAAAATGGACAAATTCTGAAATATATTGTTTTTACTTAATTCATACAATACTACTACAGACTCATAAAATACATATTTTGCAATATTGGAAGATTGGCTCCCGAAATCAGAAAAAATAAACCATCTGGAATACAATGCAGTTTTTTTTATAGATAAGTTATTTATAGGATCAAAAACTGAGCTGTAACTATAAACTAAAACATGGGAACCAATATGAAGATTTTGTATGACTTAGAAGCCAGAGTGATTCAATCCTATATCTGGTGTATCCTTAAAAGAGATAGCCTTAGAGAAAATAACAATTGTAACTTTTTGAGGTTTTTTTTTTAAAAAATAATTAATCTGAATTCTTTTGAATTCCTTTCCATTTGTTGAAATTTTCAGGGGCTCTGGAAAAAAAGAGCAAATAACACCCTGTGATATACTGTTGATCTAATCATGTATATCAAAGAAACACACTAAAAACGTTAAAAATAAAATATGCTCATGTGAAAAGCCAGTTTGATTTCCCCCAAATTAAAATTTTCTTTTACAATTATACACTGTTATCATGCACAGGAAAAGGAAAGTTATTCATGCAGCTTAGAAAAGTTTTAGATACCTGATTGTCAGTGTCTGATTCAAAACGAGGAGACGATTCTTCACAAACAGCAAGGCTTCGTACCAGTTTCCCCTTTCCTCCTGACTGAAATAGAGAAGTAAAGTAATTTCTAAACAAATAATATAATAGCATGTACATACCTCTTTGTATTCGTACATGCATGTATAGCTGATAAATGAAATTTTTAGCAATAAAAACTAAAAAAGAGATAAGCTGGTATGCAAAGAATAAACTGTTCAGTTGCCCTAAGAATAATGGATCAGTAATTGAAATTAGGATATCTGAAAACTATATCAGTACTTTTGAAAAAGTTGATTAAAATGCAATGCAAACTTTCATCAAAAAATTGGATCTTCAAAACCATGATACTTATCTGCAACAAATTAATTGATATATTTAGGTGGCTTAAATGAAATATACCAGTCCTTAAAATAAGAAAGTATAGTTTAACTGTCTCTTTCCATCTTTAAAAACTAGACATCTATAAGCATGAAAACATGAAATTTGGCAAGAGAAGGAAAAATAAGTATATTTTTTTCTTTAAATAGCAGAAACACACAAACCAATTCATTAAAAGACCAGCAAACTGAACTGAGGCAAAATTTAAAAAAAATTAAATTAAAACGAAAGTTAAATTAAACAAAAATTATAAACTTTCACCACCAGCCGTGAGATGTAAATTTTCATCCCAAGTCAACTTATCACAGTTCTGAGCACCCAGACAAAAACTCTACCTTGGGTCTCTTTTTCTGCTGGTTCTGGTTAACACTTCGTAACTGTGAAAAGCAAGTGACAACATATTCACATGTATTAGTAGAAAATATGCATAATAGAAATAATAGCACTTTATATGGTAGCTATTAAATAATTTGCCCTTATCTCAGTCATTGATGCTATTAATGCATAAGGATTTCCATTTCTATGTGTTTGCAATTTTTTTTATAAGGGTCCAGATTAAAGAAAAGTTTCTGTGTGTAATTTTCATCCTACTTCTTTCTTATTATGTATGTTAGTGAATATTAGCAAATCACCACATACTAATTAGCATTCACCACATACTAATATTTGAAAATGAACAAAAAGAGTAACTAAAATTTTAATAGAATATAACATCTAATAAAATTAAAATGAGAAAAGGAAGACAGCTTTATTAGAAAATATATGCCAATTCTTATTACCTGGTCTGATTTGCCATATTCCTCTTTTTCATCTGCTTCTGAGCTTTCTGTTTTATTAAGAACACAATTCTCTGACTGAGAGAGAGCCGAGTCTAACTCATTTCCAGCTTCTTCTAGTTTATCTTGCTCAGACATTCTCAGAAATTTAAAGAAAAAGTTTTGATGACCTAAAATGTCAAGTCATAAACAGACAACATACAGGTAGAAATGTATATCACTTTATTCCCATTTTATTGTATACTACAGCCCAACAGAATTCAGTACAATTCACACAGTAATGGACCGAAGAATTCTAGGTGAAGGCTAAAGAATTTAAAAATTAACAAGTAGCTTAGATTAACTGAAGTAATCATAATAAAGAATAGAAAAGTGAAGATGTTGCTATTTCTCTTCCCTCATCGTTCATACAAGATGTAAATTTTGCAACTTGCAAAATTTACACACGTGGAAGAACAGTTTTACCAGGAAGATGTTGCTACAAAGTAAGGTAGCCTATACACTTTTATATTAAATAATTAATCTCTTTTGAAAAAGAAAAGGAATTGGCACACACGTACCATTCAATCATCCCTATGTGCACACATATGAAAGAAAGAGAGAGAGAGAGAGAGAGAGAGAGAGAGAGAGAGAGAGAGAGAGAGAGAGAGAGAGAGAGAGAGAGAGAGAGAGAGAGAGAGAGAGAGAGAGAGAGAGAGAGAGAGAGAGAACTCTGAAGAAATAATGACTAAATAAAAACATTAATTCTCCACTTGGCATTAAAAATCTCACAGTCTTCACTGATAGGCATTAAACTGACAGCTCCACTATAGAATTCGAAAGCTCTTTCCAAACCCCATCTCATTCTCTCATACTGTTAAAATCTTCCCAGAAACTCTTGGCAGATGGCTCTCATGAAGATCTTAAAAGCAAGGCTTTGCTCTCATTTCACAACAGTCATTTGCACAGAATCTTAGCACAGCTTTTAAAATTAAAAATATTCATAAAATACCACTCTGGTACCTCCCTACTGATTGGTTGTCAAATATATCTCATGAATAATTTAGTACTTTTTGTTCTTCCCACCATGGTTTAAAGAAAAAAAATGATAAGAAGGAAAATATACTGGAGAAAGACAATATGTTCTTAACAAATTTTACTATTTGCCCTACTCCCAATATAATGATAGTTATTTGATAGATATAAATTTAATTGTGTTTCTTTTATAGACATTAATTCATACTGAAGAGATGCCTCCAATCTTTGTTTTGGTTTATTTTAAAACAAAATATATACCATAGAGTGGTCAGAAATTCAGAAAATTGATCATGATTTTGTAAAACTGAGGACTAAGAGGACTACCGGTAAGGGCACTTTTCCTTTCAAGTTTTGCGATTCTCTTTGTATGAACAGAGGGGCAAAATAGCAATGATTGAAAATGTAAATTTCTAACAATCAACAAGTTGTCATTTTGTTAGCATATTTTTTGGGGGTGGGATAATAACCTCTCTCCACAATTAATAAGCATTTATATCTGGAAATTGATACACAGTTTCTTTCTTACAATTTTAAATATAACTAACATGAATTCTACTAATTGTAGAATCTGGTATGTACTCTAGCAATTATATTCATGCAAAACCCAGCATGGATATTAATACAAGTATACATATAGACAAAATATGCTCCCATTAGGTAGATAACAAAGATATGATTTACCTTCAGTAATAACTCTTGATACTTTCCTCTCAGTTTCTGTTGCTCCTCACTGGTTAAATCCACACAAGTGATCAAAGACAATGCGAATCCCATGACCCCATTAACAGTACAGGATGCCAGTTTCCATGCTGTTCCTTTATAGAATTTGACAGATTACTGTCATCAACCTGGCAAGAAAGAAAAAAAGGACAAAGAGTAAATACCAATAATAAGAGTTATAATCACAGTTAAAATTAAAAGATAAAATAAAGATACCAGATTTCTAACCCTAATGACCAGCTTCAAGCAAATCACTTTCACAGCTTGATCCAGCTCCACCTGTCTCAAAAACTGTGTGTTTCTTCTCTAATGAAGGCTAGAGCCGGCTGTTCAACTCATAACAGCTCCTACGCACGAGCTAAAATTAACAATTGCAGATTATGTGCCAAAGATTACTCACTTCAATTTTAACCTTTTTAGTGAATTATAACACTTTGTACTAAAAAAAGTATTTTATGTTTGCTTCAATGGAAATCAATATTGTCCTTAAAGAAAAGAAGGAATGCTATCTGCTCTGTAAATGAAGCTACAAACTCAAATTGTTCTCAAAGAACAACAAACACTGATTTCAATAATACAAATTGCTGATTTAATAAGCTCAAAACACTGGAACAGTTCAAAGGAATTAATAGTTCTAAAAATGGAAATGAGAAAAAAAATATAAGGATGTAAAAAAAAAAAAGATTACTGCAGGAGAGACAGAAACATCCTAGATATTTGGCTAAAATATGTGAGGGATTTAGAAATAAATCAAAACTTATTAAAGTGCCAAAATACCATGATTATATTTTAGAGAACTTGATTTGGCAGTTGACTATTAACCCAGAGATGGACAAGTCTTCTGACAAATATGAGAACCTAAATTTAGCACCTGTAGCTTCTTAAACCAAACGTCTCTTTTCCCGGTATCATTTGGCATCTGCAGCAGCTTAATCTCAGAAAAAGAAGCAGCTGCTTTAAGGAGTGGCAGACAAGTTCACTTCTGCTTGTACCCCAAACAGTGTCCCAAGGGTGCTTCTCCAAAAGCTTGTTCAGTTCTTGGATGAAAAGTGAAACATTTTCAAAGAAAAAAACAAGAAAGTCCAATTGCCTTTGGGAAAAGCACCTTTGGGACAACCATGACCTGAATAATTAAGAATCTCCATCGACATTTATACCGTTTGTTATACTGAATCAGAATACTCCTATTAGCAACTGAAATTGCCATTCTAGCTTTGAAAAAATACATGGCATGTATCTATATAAAGCTACCATGCTATTAATTGTAACTTTTTTTCTCTTCCATTTAATCATTTCTAACCCTCAGGAACTACCATGGCAAAATTCTTTTCCAGAAGTGGTTTGCCACATTCTGACTACACCAATTCACAATCTCCCAGTTTCTATCTTGATGCTTTAACTACTATAGCTAACTGACTCTTAGTTGCAACTTATATTGTGAATTGCAGCATCCACAGGAATATGCCTCAGGCATATTCAATATATAATATATTCTATTTCTCCTCTTTTTTTAGATCTGGTGAGGTATAGCATATATCACAAGTCAGTCACTAGGGGATAATAGTGCTTCTCTCATTTCTACTTCTATTCTATTCTCAGTATTTCTTATGTAATAGCATTATTTTCTTACTAGTAAAAACTTATTAATAAAAACACAGTTATCCAAAAATATTCTTAAAGCAAATTGAATACAAACAATGGTAATAGTCAAAACACCTTAAGAAACCAATTATTACCAGATTAATTGAACGAGTAATGTATTCACCTAAAAACAATGCTAACTTTCAAAAAAAATGTGATAGTCATTATATATCTTCTAATAGACAACATAATGGATAGAGAACAATCATTATAAAACATATATTAATGGTTTCTAAATTAATCCAATGACATTTGCTTACCATCAATTAATAATTCATGAATATCTGAATGTGTTGCTTGAAAGCAGTGCAAAGATTATGATTTTTAAAAATCCTGGTTAAGCTGAAATAAATCTAATAAAAATGAAGGTTGAATGCATATTGAACCATCTAATAAACATAAAATATAATTAAATTTATGTAGTAAACGTTTTACTTTCTTACACTAATTTGTTTAAAAGCAATAAAAATTAGGCATATTAAAATGAATAGAATCCAGATATAGTATTTCTTTATGATCCAATTTTTGCTTCAACTTCAATTTCCCACTAACCATATTGCTAGACCAGGAAAATGCTGCTAACAATTCTCTTCTGATTATATAGCAACAACTACCATTAAAATGCATTGCAGTCATAACTACCCTATTTTATTGTAGGAAAGGAGTCCTATCAAGGTAATTCCATCAAGACAAGATTCAGGGATTCATTTTCTGAACTATTTCACAGAATGAATTCAAGAGTCATTCCGAGATGCTGAATTTACCACACTTCAAATTAATTCAGTTATATAAAGCATATAAAAATCCCTTTCATAAGATAACTAAGTCCAATTATACTTTAAATAAGATGCAACATGGTACAAACTTAAAGTACTTGAGCCTACATGCCATTCTCTTAAAATCAACACATTTTCTTCTAGGAACTCTACTTAGAACCAGGATATTAAATTGATGTCAGTTTGCATTTGGATACACACACACACACACACACACACAAATGTAAACCCAATCAAAATATGGCATTTCTGAATTAATGTAATTAATTTTATATTTATGAATTACCTATATCTAGAGTTTCATGTAATTTTCCTCTTGTGAACTGTTTTTCTGACTCTCAGTTATAGCTTCCTTTTATACAAGTAACAATATCGCTTTCCTTTTTGCAAATATGCAATACTATTTCAATGTGACTTTGAATCTATTACAAAGGTCAAAATCCAAACTCAACTTTGTATATATGATTACAAATTATTTTATTGTTTTTGATAATACTATTATTATATCTAATTATTTACAGATACTATAGTTAAATATTGCTAGGCATTATCTTTAATTTCATTGTAGAATCTTCTTAAAATAAAGCCCATATTATCTAATGCAATAATAACATACACTTAAAGTATATATAAATTATATGTAAATCCTAGGTTTTACAGCATTCCTGGCAGTGTGGATTTGATTTGAAATTAAGTTGATTTAAATCACGATTTACATCACTAGTAAAAAGGCTCGATTTAAATCATAATTTTTAAAGCGCAACTGTCATTTCTGTCCGGCAGTGGCTCCTCCTCTGACCCGCTGTTGACTCACCGACAGTCCATTCACTTTAATGAGATGGCTGGTGATACAACAGTGACACAACAAGGTGAGGGACGTGGCAGGCAGCGAGTGGATGCCCACTAACAGGCACTGCAATAATGGATCTGAAATGACAGGTGCTCTTTAAATGTAAGGACTCATTCTTGCTGGTAGTTAGAATCTTTAATATTATTATTTGCAAACAAAATGAAGGTTTCCTATTTAGAATAATAAGCTGTCAGGTTAGTAAAAACAGCGATATCAGAACTGATTTTAGTTAATAGGTTAATCACACATAATTGGAGAACTACTCAAATTCTTTTATTTAATTAAAACAATAACATTATATATTACATATTCTTGTATTTGCTTAAACATCAATGTTTAGTAACATTGATGTTTAAGCAAATGTAAGTGCACAAACCAAATATCCTTGAAAAAAACAAACAAAAGAACTTAAACTGAATATATCAGTTGGGTTCACATAAAAAAACATGGTCTTCTGCAGCTCACTCATTTTCATCTTTGTTCTCTTGTTTGTTCATGATCTGGAAAAGAAAAACAAGCTTTCCTATTTTATCAGGCCCCAGACGATTTTTCAATTTAGAGTGAACAAGAGAATATTCTTTCAACGCCAGCAGAAGAGGCCATTGCGGTTAAAAGTGAAATCATTACTTCAACACTTTCTGAATCCAAGTGCTTAAGTGACATCCACCAGTTCACTGGTGAAACTTTCTTTAAAACCTCATCAGCAAACATATATTTCTTGAATGGTTCCCTCTCAGCTCTGAAGTTCATTGTAGCTGGCACTAGAGATGGATGGTTGCTAGATAACCACGTCATGGCTAACTCCTCTTCTTCAACACTTAAGGTTTGACCCTAGTACCAGATATTGACAATGTTTGCGAGAAAATGAGATAGAGACAGTGCTTGTCCCATTCGCTTTTTTAAATCTTGTAATTTCTGCTTGTCATTGTGTAGTGGTTTTTAAGTGTTCACTCAGTTCCTTCCAAATTTCAACATTTTATTGCATCAGCAATAAAACAACTATTTTTCTGGATTTTAAAGCTTCAGAAACGGGTTTCAGGATGCTCAGTATATGTTCAACATTTCTCTTAAATCCAATGTTGAGGATTTTGGCTGTGATTTTGGCCATATATTTTTTCTTGATTTTGCTCACAAACGGTCGTCAGAATAATCCAGTTTTTATATATTGTTCAAAACAGTCCACTACAGAGTTCCATCTAACATCTTGTGGGAGTGTTAGCTTGGTTCCACCCATTATTTTCAGGGCCGATGTTGCAAAATGATTGTTACGGAAGTATTTAGAAATTTCAACAACATTACTTTTTAATTCTGGGACACAGAAATCTTTGGCTAGGAGGTGCATCAAATGAGTGTTACTACCATATGTTATTAGCATGGTAGTTTCTTCATGTTGTTCTAAATATCTTCTCATTTTGGACACATTTGTAGCTTTGTCTGTGACCAAACTATGTATTTGACATTTGAAATTTTTTTCGTATGTTATGGTAACTTTTGCTGCTACTTCTAAGTATGCTGCTGTGTGTGCATTTCCTGAAGTATCAATTGTTTCTGCAAGAAATACATTTCGTTTTGTTGTTATACAAGCATATACAATAGGATCATTGTGGACATTACTCCACCCATTAAGACTTAGGTGATAATTTTATCTTCTAGACTTGTTGCACATTGCATAATTTCTTCATCATATACTTTATCCAGCTGTTTCCCTGCAACATCTAATCTACTTGGTGGACTCTGTCCTAGTGTCAGTGACTGAATCATATTAACAAAGTTTGGGTTTTCAAGCAGATGGAAAGAAGAGTTTGTTGCATAAACAAACTGAACAATTTTTTCATCAATTAACTCTTTTTCTAATCTGCTTGTTTTTATCACAAACTTATTTATGGTGGTGGTTCCAGATGGTTTCTTTTTTCTTTTTTGGTGATATAGTGCAGATATGTGTAAATGATGCGACTGATGCACTATTCTGGAGAGATAACTCTGAAACTGTAGAACAGACATATCAAACTCATGATGTCACGTGATGTCGCGCGGCATATTGGAACTTTTTCCCCATTGCTGGCAATGGGGTGGGCATGGTTTCCTCTTGACGCGTCTACCCTGCGGGCCGGCAGTTTGACACCACTGCTGTAGAACAAGAGGATGGCAATTTAGAAAATGGATAGTTTCCAGAATCTTTTATAATGGTGGTGGTTTCACCTAAACAAAAAAGTCAATGTTGTTATTTTATTATTTAAACCATGTATGCTTGTTGTGAATTTCTCATTGTATTCACACACAGTACAGCCTAAAAAGGAATATTTGCATATTTCAACTCATTATTTCTTTTTTTGGCAACTGTATAAAAATGCACTGCCATGCAGTAACAATAGCAGATATATATTATTGCTTTAGCATAACAGCATGGCAGTCTAAAAAATATGGTGAAATAAAAATAGTTTACCAACCTGAAGGTCCTGCCTCCTCAAACAAGGTCTTTTTATCACAGTACTTCTCATGATGTTGTTTCATTTGGGCCACCAGGCCTTGCATTTCTTTGTTGCATTGCTTGCATTTTGCACACATAGGTAGCTTTACCCGTAGGTAGAGGAACTTCATTAAAATATTCCCAAACTGGGTCTCTTTTACGGCCTGCTGCCATTTTGCTCCTCAATGGAGGAAAATAAAGTACTTCAAGCTATGTGCAGAAAGATCACTAGGTTTATAAACTGCTTAGAGAGTTTCACTTTCATTTTTACTGCTTGCCCTTCCTCCTCACACTTAGAGCCTGGTACAGATGCATTTCTCTTCAAATAATCATAGTGTTTGTAGTGTACATAGATTTGCAAAATAATGGAATAAAGGAATACTCTATTAGTTCTAATAGGTAACTTTTCTTCACCTGGAAACTGACTTCATATGGGCTGTCTCTACTCTTCTTAAAACCATTAGATTACGATCAAGTCAAACAATTATTAAAGAATATGTTTTTTTTAAATACTGCAGTAAAAATTGGTATTGTTTTAAATACAATTTCAGTAAATTCTCAAAGGGAATACTTCAACACCACTTTCTAAAACTACTTGGACAAAATTTACTGTTGCTGCTGTTTGGAACATGGCTCAAGATCCCAAAACAAACAAACTCACTTGGAATTCCAGCAACAAAGTTTTATTCAAAATAAAGCATTTGCAAAGGCTTGGTGGACTGAAACACACACAGGAGTTCAGCCACACCTTAAAGAACTGTTTGACACATTTTTATATTCTACCTTCGATGCAGATTCCCCTCTCCCCTATCGCACTCAACGCCCCTTCCCTAATCATCCAATAGACTTTCCGGACTGCCTAAAACCACTGCCCTTCCCATGTTCCAGGAAGCCCCTTTATCCATATCCTATCTTTCACCATCTTTCTGTTAGCACAGTTCGTCTCCTATAGTTATTTCGATATTTCCTCTGCTTGCAATTTCAGTTAGCTAGCAATGCTTTTCACATTTATACCTGTCAATACTTAGATAAGATATATTATTATTTCTAATTTTTAGTTGGCTTCTGCTTCAACCTTTAGACTCATTAGAAATTTCTGAATAATACTTTATTCCTTTCACTACCAAGCTATACTAACATTTGCAAGAAAGTAGGTTTTTCCCGTAAATCTGCAACTATACTATTTTAAT